GAAAGGAGATATCCTTCATAAAACAATGACAAAAAATTACATATTACAGAAATTTTTTGACTTGATAGTTAAAATTAATATATAAAATGCTTATGAGAAATGGCTATACTCTGTTAAAGACTTGCATCACCTCACATGTGTTCAAAAAGCAAATGGCCTGTATTTCTCCTCTATTGTATATTTCTTTATTCTGTCTCACCAGGAATGGTGATATCATTTAGGCACTAAGTTTTAAGTTGGGATTCACTAAACCAAACTCTTCCAAACAAAAATCTTCATTCAATGTTTATAGACAGATTCCTATGCTTTCATGAAGGGCTTATATGTCTAGTAATAAAAATCTGTTCCCTTTTAAAATGATATAAAATTGATGCAAAATATTATCTATTAGAAAAAATAGTCATATGCTGCTTATTATATTAAAAAGTGTATACTAAAAATTATTAGTCAAAAATATGAAAATTATTCTATACTGAGGATTTATTCTTATATAACATACTTATTTTCAAATAAATATTATTTTTTCTTTTTTGTAATAACAATTTTGATCATATCTTATAGATAGTTTAGTGAAAACAGAATTAATCTGCAACATGTAATATTTCCACAATGAATTGTTATTTCATATTGATACACATAAATTTTCAGGAGAAAATTTCAAATTCCACCATCAAGAAACAACTCTAGTTCCATTTTGATTATGTTTTTGTGTCATAAAATGTAGAAGAACTAATGTTCCACTTTACTAAAGTAATAAGTAGTACTGGGATCCAGTTCTCTATTGGGGGCCTACCAGTACACCATCTGTGTTTTACAGGAGGTAGCAAGATAAAGCTCTAATAAGATTTTTCAGCAAATGTCACCAAACAGGCATCACTCTAAAGTCAACTAAAGGTTAAAAAAATCCAAACATATTTCTCGAAAGCTTAATTGGAAGATATGTAAATGGATTATTTATAACCAATTTTATATATTTAGATAATGATGCATATTTAAGTACATTATTTAAAGAAAATTTTACTTTAAAAAATCTCACTTGGGTTAGAGTGTATAATGCACACATTTGTTTCCTACAAAGGGCAGATTTTCAAACATATGAATTCCATTAATGCTGTCAGGGAACAGAGTGATACAAGGTCTTTTGGATTATATTCCTCATAGTGGAGAAGAAGCTGGGATAAGTTGCTTTATTAAAAATTTAGATATCTAGGGAGATGGTAGGTATTGGCTGTTTTGTCAGTACTCCTTCAAGTACCTCATGATTTCCAAGTCTAGAAAGGGCTGACTAGATCAGAAATTGGCAAATATGGGCAGTGAGTATCAAATCTGGTCCACTGCCTGTTTTTGTAAATAAAATTTTATCTAAACATAGCCACATTCATTTGTTTAAGAATTGTCTATGGTGGCTTCTGTGTTAACTGAGTTAAATGGTTCAAATAGCAAAACATGGCCTACAAAGCCTAAAATATTTACCATCTGGTCCTTTACAAATAAGTTTGCTTATCTGTGGTCTAGTTCAACATTTGTCCCTAAATATTTCAACATAAATAAAATGCAAACTACATGTGTAATTTTAAAATGCCTAATAGCCATATTGAAAAAAAAAAAAGGAAACAGGTGAAATTGGTTTTAGTAACATATTTTATTTAAGCCTACATATCCAAAATATCATTTTAACATATAGTGCTAACCAAATTTCAAATGCTCAATAGCTATGTATGATTAATGACTGCCATATTAAACCTTGTAACTTTAAGTAAGCAACCAGTTGGAGCTTTTGGGGACCCATTCTACAGGAAATCAGTTTTTTGTTTTTTTTTTAAAGACATTTCCAGGACATTACAATCAGTCTAAATTGTGGCAGTTAAAAAATCCTGGTTATTTATTTATTTTTTCACTCATTTTACAGACAATAAGTGCAGAAAGAAAAATTTAAAACCAGCCAACTGACTAACAGACAAAAAGGACTTCCCTCATTAAAATCTGATGAGGTTAACAAAGAGTTCTGCCATGTAGAGATGATTTTAGTAAGGTTGTTTATTTTCTACCTTAAAGCTAAATTCCTCCCACTACAATTTAAACAGTTTCTATCTTATTTTATCCTCAGCAGAATCTAAAAGCAGTTCCCCATCACTAATATGATATTGTATTCCTTTAAATCCTTTAAGACTCTGGCCCTCTCCTAGCCGCAAAGATTTTTCTTTATCTAGCTGCACATAATCGACTCCTCTAGCATGTCAAATTGGACCCATTTTTAAAATGTTTTATTGTATTTGTTGTTCTCTTTAAAACCTTTCCCTAAATCTATATGCATTCTTCAAATGCAAGAAGGAAAAGTGAATACAGAATCCTAATAAATGCCAAATATTGCCAAACACAAAGAACTCACCACACATATTACATGTTGTTCTTCCATTTAAACAATTCATGGTACCATTTGAAAATATTTCACTTGTGTCTCACTGAAGTCTACATCAAAAAATTCTGAAATACATAGTAACCCTACATATTTCTAAATTTCAGACTTACTGTCTTTTTCCCCAGCTCTGAAATGAGTGTGATTTAATCCCTCTTTAAATCTGACTTTTTTTCTTATGAAAACTAATAAAGCATATAATAAAAATTTTATTATAGGAATTTATAAGCATTCTTGAAATGTTATGCTTATCAAATTTATCAATAAAAGATTAAGATAGGGACTTCCCCTGTGGCCCTGTGGCTAAGACTCCACACTCTCCAAGTAGGGGAATTCGATCCCTGGTCAGAGAACTAGATCCCGTGTGCTGCAACTGAGAGTTCGCATGCTATAACTGAAGATCCTGCATGCCGCAACTAAACTGATGCAGCCCCCTCCCCCCCAAAAATTAAGATAAAACAGTCTTAAAGGCTTAAATCTAGGAGGATGAGATGAAGATATGTAGTACATAATTGGAGAAGCTATAACTTATGAGAACACAAATAAAAATATCTCTACTTAACAGTTAGCTCAATAATAAGAGAAGTATAGCATATAGAACAAAGGAGGTGATAGTCCTGTCTAATTCAATTCTCCAGCTCTGTAAAGTTTAAAAATTGGAGATTATATTCATCCAGGTAAAGGGTAGCAGCTAGGAAATAAAGTTGGAATCAACCTAAGAGTAGGAAAACAAGACCCCAGGATTTTATTACCTTTTGGAGTCAAAAGACAGAAACAAAATTACATAAAGAAATATATACTGTTATCACCACCTAAAAGGTAGCTCTGAAGTCCTCCAAGAAACTGAATGAAATAGCAATCAGCTTACCTTCTGGGAATTAAACTAGTAAAAAAGGCACTTGATAAATGAGATATGCTCTGGCAGACCCTAGGCATCTGACATGCATGAGTCAAGAGACATATCCAAGTTCCCATCTACTGTTCTAGCATATAATTTCCACTATAAGACACACATTCTATTGTGAACAAAAAGCAACAAAGTCACATTAAGATGGAATACATGGCAGTCTGACGGTCTTACTCACTGGGCTTTGATTACCTCCGTCTTAAAATACATAATAGAAGTGTGGTTCAATCTCCCACTTAGGAGAGACTAAGACCCTATCACTTTCAACTTCAGTTATGAATGTTAAAAATTTTAGTATATTGATATAATTGTCCTTGTAAAACATGACTCCTTAGGAATTCCTTGGGAGTCTAGTGGTTAAGGCTCTGAGCTTCCACTGCAGGGGGGCACAGGTTGGATCTTTGGTCAGGGAAATAAGGTCCCACTTTCTACACAGGGCCAAAAAGCAAACAAAAACCCCATGATTTCTTTAAATAAGAACATGAAAAACAGATTTGGAAAATCTGAAAACAATTATATTTACAGAAAAAGAAATGGAAAAAAAAAAAAGCTGCAGCCAAATCGCTGGTTTTAACATCTGCAGGAGAAGGCATAAAAGTAGGTGGCCTAAATGGAGTCTGGAAGAGGGAAATAAAAATTTAAAAATTTGTCAGTGTATACCAGTCTTGACCAATAGAGACAGTACCCTGATGGGGTGACAGCAAACACTGCATTAGCTTTTAAGAGCTCAGGGCTCTGACTTGAAGCCCATCAAGGAACCCTCTGTTAAAATTCCTCCTCCCCATTCTCCCCTATGCTATGTAGTTTGCTACAGTGAGACTGCTGAGCAATGAACTGCAGTCATATTTATCATTGTAAATTAAATAACTGTCATTCTAGATTACGTATTCATTTCTTGGGTGTTTGGTTAGTGTGATTCAGTTCTCAAAAGATTGACAAACACTGACCTCACTGATAAAATCTAAATCTTGTCTTTAAACCTAAAAAGGTGATGCTCATATGATGGTGCCTCCACCCCCACCCCTGCAGCTTTGAGGCGCAGTTTAGCAGCCATCTTAAAGATGACACATCCTCTCACTACATATATATATATATGTATATATATATATGTAAAACTATATATATATATAGTTTTTTTTCCACTTAGGTATTTCACCTCTTAATTTGCTTATCACAAATAAAAACAAAAAGACATCAGAAAAATTAGATCATTGAATTCTTTTGATACACTTAGCATCTCTAGGATTATCAGCATGTCAGAATTCTAAGCCTTATTTAACACACAATGATGGAGTTTGTGTGAAACTCAAACTCCACAAACAATGATGGAGTTGTGTGGGAAAAAAAAAAGGAACCAGACCACAGAATATAGGTTTCCACCCCCCTTTCATTAAAAACCATCTAGAATTCAAGAATTCATATAAAATTGGCTGAATATTGATAAGCCAGATAAGTCTTCATCAAAAAAAGAATGCTATACTCATTCAAAAATAATAATCACTCAAAAACTTATCCCAATTTACCCAAGATTGCTTGGAAGGCATGTCTGGTAGATACAATCATCTCTGAGTTGTTATCTTTGTGCTGATTTTTAATGGGCATATATTGATGAAAGCACATTACTTCTACTTGGGGTTGGTAATGTTTACTGTGAGCAGCAGCTTGATTTGAACTTACCTTACATGAAGACTCCACCTGCAGACCAGGGCAAGGTATTGGCCCAAACTGGGACAAGTTGGAAGACCTCTGTTCTACACTTTTGTGCTTATGTGTCTCTGAGGCCACTGGAAGTATAGAGTCAGGTTTTGGAAGTTGTGAATCATCACAACAATTAAGAATAATCTTCGCTCTTTCTCCCGTTTCATGTCTTTCCAAAGTGCCTGAAAAACAAGATTAGAAATAAAAATTTATGCAAAATATTTATCCCCAAAGAATGAAAAGAAGAAACCATTCTTAACAGAAAAATCACAATTCTTTCAGTCACCATGCCTTACTATCTCCTTGCAACCAAACGACAGCCTGGAGCCTCCTCTAAATTATCAAATCATCGTTTTATAAAGGCTAAAATTATAGACTTGAGACACTCATATTCCTCTTTGTGCTCTTTCGTCCACTGAAATCAACAGAGCATTCAATAGTCGTTAACAGTAAAATCTCCTACTTATTATACAGTATGCAAGTGATCAATAACAAACAACTATGGAATATTTTAGTGCTGTCCCCTAGTGTTCCAACTCACAAACAACAGAGAATCCACAGTGCTTTGCTTGGGTTCCTAACCTTAAAATGTTTCTGTTGATAATACAGCATTTAAGTGAATAGGGGGAATAAGAATGCAGATGCCTGATGCCTTCATCTTCAGCAGTTCAGGCCTCTCTAGGGTTTTGTGGCTGGTGATGGTATTGCTGATACTGTTGCTTATACATTTTGGCTTTTATTTCTTATTCTGTTAGGAGAGAAAAAAATTATTTTGCCCTCTTCTCTGACATTCTTATAGTTTCAGAATTTAAAGGTACTAACAAGTGGAGTTTAAAGTTAAAAGAAACAAGTATAAAATGAGCAAAAGCATCAGAAAAGAATTCGCAGTGTTTTTATAAAATACATTGTCATAACACTCCGTGAAATCTCACTAAATATCAATTAATCATGACCACTGTCTCATATCAGTTATGAATTCATTTTATTACTCATACTATATTAAATATATACCCTATATCCTATTAAGTAAACTGGCGAAGGAAAATTAACTTTACATAGAATCTAAACACAAAATTTTAATTATTATTCCTTTCCTACCAATGAAGAAAGAAGCAGTTATACAATAATATTTGCAAAGAAGGAAAAAAATCATTCTTATTGATAGTATTAAGAAGAAATAAATTTAAAGTAATTACAATAAGAAAATAGAAATAATGCTTCTATACCCCTATGTCTTTAGATTACATAGGTAGAGTTGAAGCTTATGACTATTGAAACCTTACTCATTTCTCCTCTCTTCCGGTATCTTTCCTTTTCAGCAACAAACTACCTTGAGTTAGTGCTTTGGATTCTGAATCATTAATAGCTACTCTTCTAAAATATTGGGCAGAAATTTAGTCTCTGGTCTTTTAACCGTGATATCTTTTCACTACCACATTTCTTCATTAATGAATTAATGTCTTTAACGTATATATCTTACAAATGTTATTTCTCTAGACTTTCCTTTTCCATCAAGATAGATACACCTTCAAGTAAAGCAGGCAGCAACACCAAGACAATCTTTTCTGTTAAGGATGACAATAAGAAGAGTTTCTCAAACCAAAGATAACAGTTATTACCACAGCTATTATTACTTTCTAAAAATAACTGCATCCAGAACTTGTAGCTGAAACATCTAAAATACACTGTCTTTGTGGAGGAGTCTCTTTGAATATGATGTCACCATGGATATTTTTTTCTCATAAGTTTTCTGTGACTACTCAAAGTATAATACGGAGTGAAAAAGAATGACTCAAGCCTGCTCCCCCTGGAGTTACAGATAATCTAATGGAATCTAATGGTAGTGCGGAGGCAAGGAACACCTGAAAATTAATTTGTTATAATATTTAAAGTAACACATAAGTTCCTTCCACTCCAAAATAAAAACCTTCCACTCTAACAAATATGGAGCAATTAATTTTGTGAGCATTAGTTCCCACTTTGACTAATTATTAAATATTCAAGATGATTAGGAGCTTTCCAGGTGGCGCTAGTGGTAAAGAACCCGCCTGCCAATGCAGGAGATGTAATGTAAGAGATGGAGGTTCAATCCCTGGTTGGGGAAGATCACCTTGAGAAGGGTCTGTCAACCCACTCCAGTATTCTTGCCAGGAGAATCCCATGGACAGAGGAGCCTGGCAGGTTACAGTCCATAGAGTCACACAGAGTTGGACAGGACTAAAGGGACTTAGCATGCAGGATGATTAGATTATTTTGTTTCAAAGAACTAGTTGAAGCACAAATGTGGTAAGGAGAGTGGTTAGAGTGAGTTGATTTCTTCAAAAGTTACCACAGACAAATGATTGTCTTTTTATTCTCAAATGGCTACAAAAAATGTATTTGCTTAATTATAATGACATTCTTCAAGGCATATCTACTTTCTCTTTTTCCTTTTTAATTGAAGTACAGTTGGTGTATGATATTTTATAAGTTACAGGTGTACAATATAGTGATTCACCATTCTTCAAGATTATATTCAATTTATAGTTATTATGAAGTATTGGCATGTTCCCTGGGTTGTACAATATATACTTGTAATTTATTTTATACCTAATAATTTGTACCTCTTAATCCCCTACACCTATATGGCTTCTTTCTCCTAACCTGTCCCCAATGGTAACCACTAGTTTGTTGTCTATATCTGTGAGTTTGCTTCTTTTTTATTATATTTACTAGTTCGTTGTGTTTTTTAGATTCTATATAAGTGTTATCATGCAGTATTTGTTTTTTTCTGTCTGACTTATTTCACCTAGCATAATACCCTCCAAGTCCATCTATGTTGTTGCAAATGGCAAAATTTCATTCTTTTTTATGGCTGGAGTAGTATTCCATTGTATGTATATGCCACATTTTCTTTATCCTTTCATTTGTTGATGGACATTTAGGTTGCTTCCATATATTGGCAGTTTTAATAAAGCTGTTATGGACATCAAGGAGCATGTATCTTTTCAAATTAGTGATTTTGTTTTTCTCAGATATACGCCCAGGAGTGGAAGTGTTGGGTCATATGGTAGTTCTGGGTTTCCCAGGTGGCTCAGTTGGTAAAGAATCCACCTGCAATGCAGGAGATGCAGGAGAAGTGGGTTCGATCCTTGGGTTGGGTTCATCCCCTGGAGAAGGCAATGGCAACCCACTCTAGTATATTTGCCTGGAGAAACCCATGGACAGAGGAGCCTGGCAGGCTATAGTTCATGGGGTTGCAAAGAGTCAGACATGACTGAAGTGACTGAGCACGCACGCATGGTAGTTCTATTTTTAGCTTTTTAAGAAACTTCATACAGTTTTCTACAGTCATTGCATTAATTTACATTTCCAACATCAGTTCACAAATGTTCCCCTTTCTCCAGATCCTCGCCAACATTTGTTATTTGTGGTCTTTTTTTCATGACAGGCATTCTGACAAGTGTGAGGTTATATCTCATTGTGGTTTTGATTTGCATTTCCCTGATGATTAGCAGTGTTGAAAAATCTTTTCATGTGTATGGCCATCTACATGTTCTCTTTGGGAAAATGTCTACTCTGTTCTTTGACTATTTTTTAACCCATTTTTTAATGTTGACTTGTATAAGCTGTTTATATATGTTGGATGTTAACCCCTTTTCAGTCATATTATTTGCAAATATTTTCTCCCATTCAGTAAGTTGTCTTTTTGTCTGTTTATGATCTCCTTTGCTGTAAAAGATTTTAAGTTTAATTAGATTGCATTTGTTTAGTTTTGCTTTTATTCTCCTTGCTTTAGGAGACAGATCCAAAAACAATATTGCTATGATTTATGTCAGCGTCCTAGGCACAGCATAAGAGGAAAAAAATAGAAATCCTAAGGAAAGAAAGAAATAAACTGTCACTGTTTACAAATGATGTAATAGTATACATAAAAAATTCTAAAGATGCCAGCAGAAAACTACAAGAGCTCATCAATGAAATCAGTAAACTTGCAGGATACAAAATTAATATACAGAAATCTGTTGCATTTCTATACAGTAATGATGAACTGCCAGAAAGAGAAATAAAGGAAACTACCTCATTTATCATCATATCAAAAATAATAAGATACTTAGGAATAAACCTACCTCAAGAGGTAAAAGGCCTATATTCAGAAAACTGTAAGACGCTGATAAAAATAATTGAAGATGACCTAAATAGAAAGATACACCTTATTCTTGGGTTGAAAGAATACTGTCAAAATGACTATACTCCTCAAGGCAGTCTACAGATTCAATGTAATCCCTATCAAAATATGAAGGACATTTTTCACAGAACTAGAACAAATAATCTTAAAATTTGTATGGAAATATAGAAGAATCTAAACATAGCCAAAACAATCTTGAGAAAGAAGAATACAGCAGGAGGAATCATGTCCCCCTAAATTCAGGCTATAGCATAAAACTACAGTAACCAAAACAGTATGTTACTGGCACAAAAACAGAAACATAGATCAGTGGAGCATGATAGAGAATCCAGAAGTATACCCATGCACTTATAGTCAATTAATCTATGACAAAGGAGACAAGAATATACAACGGGAAAAAGACAATCTCTTCAGTAAGCAGTGCTGGAAAAACTGGGCAGCTACACCTTAAAGAATGAAATTAGAACACTACTTAACACCATACACAGAAATAAACTCAAAACGGATTAAAGACCTTAATATATCAGAACCCATAAATTGCATTCTGGAAATTTTAAGCTGATTTTCTAATAAATTCAGAACAATAATTTTCATCAAAACCCTGACAGTGGAAAGACAGGGATTCCCATGTATTCCAGTTACCAATTTATTGACTCTTAGTTCTAAATTCACACTTCATTGTCTGCTCTGAAAATGGATATGGGTTTTTTAAATATTTTTCCTTTAATAGCTGGAGCAGTGTTAACCTTTGTAGATAAAAGGGTGCTGTAAGGACCTAGTAGAAGAAAGAGTTTTTCTTCTCTGATCTGGGGCAGCCTGGCTGGCTTCATCCCCAGAACCAGACTCCTGCAGTGCATGTCAGCTAGCAGATAGCAGCTTCACTTGGCACAGTCTCTGCCTGGTTTTATGACAGAGTGCCTCCAGCGAGGCATCTGCCTGTGAACTGCTTTCCCTAGTCCCCTAGTGGGCATATTTCTGGCAAGTTACACCACACCACAGCAGCTCCTCTACCAT